AAACATAAGGGGGCTAAATTAAACATTTTTAGACACTACAAACTAAATTGAAAAAAAAAACCTAAAAATGTTAGGGAATTAACATATATTTAGCCATTTTAATTCCTCAAATTATTAATTTAAGATTTTAATTGATTCAGCAATATGCAAGTTAAAGAGCATAGAATGGTTTTTTCCCTTTTCTTTTTTTAAAGGTAGAAAACATTTACTAAAAATCATTAAATTTTCTAAAAGTATTGGATTATTCTCCAAATTTTTAAAATTGAAAGCAATTTTGAATTTTGGTTTTTTAGCTAGCCTAATTGAAAATGTTAAAACACAAATGCAAAAATTTAATGTAATGAAAAGTCATCAATTTCAAAAGTAGTAAAGGCGTTTGCCGGGAGCCGAACCCGGATCTATTGCTTGAAGGCAATTATCCTAACCGTTGGACTATAGTGAAAGTTACTAATTTTATTTTAAATAAATAATTACATAACAATTGTCTAAGTAAAAAAATTTTTTTGTTTTACAAATTTATAAAATAAAACCATAATATTAACATTGAATTATAATATAGAATACTGTACTCTTTAAGTTATCATACATAAATTCAATACTATTATCAACTTAAACATAACTCAACTAATGAGAGCATATATTTTGGATGAAAAAGTTGGAGGATAAATCTCCACTGCTACGTGTGTTATTGAACTAAAAAAAAAAAAAAAAGTTAAGACATATACTCTCAACAAAAAAGTTAGAAGTTTGAATCTTCACTCCTAATGTTGTTTGAACTTATGAAGAAAAAATCCATACTCTTGAATTTGGCATGCATTCACTTAAAATTAGTTCTCTTAATGGTAAATATTTTAAAATTGTTACAATTTTTTGTGATCCATTTTATTTAGGTAATTTATTTAAAATAAATAAACTTAAAATAATAAAAAAATTTCTTTATATTAAAATATTATYTTTTTACTGTGTACTTATTAATATAATGTRTAAGATGGGGGTTTCACTTTTTAAAAAATGTATATACATTTTTTGAAAKTATTGGGATGAGGATACAATTTTGTTTTATAAATTTTCTTAATAATTTGGATTTTGATTTTTTGATAGGAAAACAGTGAAATGTGTGTGATATGGAAATTAACGAAAATATGTGAGACACTCATTTTACTTTAATTTTAACATATTATTATTATTATTTTATTCTTTTTAGATTTGACTTCTTAGATATGGAAAACAATTAAGTATAGATGTTAAAAATCAATACCATAAATTAAAACTACACAATTATAGGTGCAAATCAGTACTCAAAATTATAAGTACACAATTATAAGTATAGATTTGAGTTATAATTCGTACAATTTTTCAAATCGGYACTCTCAAAATTAACAACACGGATATATGTATGTGTAATATTTACTATAAATTAAAACTACACAATYATACGTGCAACACACATGTATTTTCTAGTTCACTTAAAAAGTGTGTTTGATGTTGTTAGTTTATCAAAAAGTAATTGAAAAATAATGTAGATAACCGTATTTTTTTCTTACAAATTGAAAAATGATCCAACTTTTAAGTGCATTTAGTTATTTGCAGAGTTAGTTTTTTTAGTACCGGGGTGGGAGATTGRACTCACGGCCTTCTYTARTTAGAGATAAATGTCTTGACCAATTGAACTACTGTCAAATTGGCCAAAACTAATTCGAGTTAAAAGGTAGCGAAGTGGATAAATAAGATTAACTTGAAGTTAAAATTGAACCTTTTTTTTTAGAACAATATGTGAGGGATGAAACTCACACCCTCTCATTGAAGATATATTCCAAGTACCATTGAGTTGTACTCGYTTTGGCTAAAAATTGAACAATTTAAGTAGAACTTGTTTGCTCGTAAATGTTATATAGAGACGCTACTCAATATTTGTTTTCTTTTGGAATTTTATTTTTGTAGTCTTGATTTTGTAAAGTTTCTAATCTTAGAGTAAAATTCTTTCTAGTGCTTACCATTAATTGTTTGACTAATTATTAGCTTATAAATTTAAATCCATTGCCAAATTTGACATTTAACTTAAAATACTTACTTGTGTCTATATTAGATTATGTTAAATATTTTTTAAAAAAATTAGTGACAAATGCTAAAATGTATGTGAATTTTAGAGGTAAATAAAAATATGTAAAAATTTAGAGTCCAAAATAAAATAAACATAAAAATTATACAAACAAAAGAAGATTTAAACTAACAAATTTTATATAAAATTTTAGTAACTAACAAAATGTTTTTGGAAGGTATTTGAAGTGAAACCTTTTAAATTTGCCAACAGCTTAGTTCGTTGATCAAAATGTGTGAGTTGAAATCTCTATCCCCTGTATTGTATTTAAAAAAATTAAAAAAATTTAAAAAAAAAAACCTTTTAAGTTTCAAAGTTTTGAAATTAAAAAAACAAAACAAATATAAATATAAAATTTGAGGACAAAATTAAATCTTAAATGTTTTCTTTACATTTATGAGCAATTATTCATTAAATTATTGTGATTGTCCAAGGGGTGTATGACAAAGACAGAAAATTATTGGAATGGGAAATATGTCAACCATTTGTAAGAGGACATGAATTACATAAAGTTGAGTCATCATCAATTATAGTTTAAATTTTCTAATTTTTTTTTCTACCTAATAATAATTTGCAAATTATTTTTCAATAATAATTTAATTTCCATATATTTCTAAGCCCAGTCTCCGTTAAATGATGGTTTTTCCTTTTTAATTTTTAAGGATTCAAGCAGTAGGGTGGAGGTGTTAAAGAGACTATACATTGCAGTTTTTACGGTATTTTATAACTTCTACAGTATTAGTTGTTGATGGATTTTTTTGATTGTTGGTGGGGGTTGTCAAATGTTGTAGCGTCTAGGACATGCTGCAGCTTCTACAGTATTGATTGTTGCTGGCTGGTTGTTGTTTTGATTCGCTTTGGTTTAGTTTTTATTTCCGTTTTGGCATTAAGTTTGTTTTTCTTTTTAGTTTAGACGTTAGTTTCGACATTCATGTTATTTAGCAAACTCACACTTTAATATCATTGTAAGTATGAGAGGGGATATTAGATAATATTATTTTTGGAGTTTTAGTTTCTTAACATAATTCCAAACTTTATTTTTACTATTTTGTAATTTCGAAGGACGAGGGGAAGGGTAAAATGGGAAGGTGAGGCAGGAGATAATAGAACATGCAACTTTGAAAAGGGTGCATGAAAAAAGTGAGAGCCAGCTAGCACGTGATGTGACGTGCTAAGAAAAGAAAATTTTATTACATTTCAAAATTCGAAGGCATTTATTTTTATGTGGGGTTTGAAAAAAGAAGCCAAAGAAAAAGGGCAATTCCAATGCATCATCATGCATGTGCCAATCATCTAGGTTGCATTTCCTTTTCTCAATTCAACTTGCTTTGCTATTTAAAACTCCCAAAATATCTGAAATGCACATCTCTTTATAATTTCTTACTCTATCCCTTTTGTAGCTATTTCAATGAAGATCAATGTATTGTTTATTATATCGGGCTTATGACAAATGAACCTGTAACAACAGACTTCGAGATCGGTGCAGTGCTTTTTTAAGGTCTTCTGATGGTCAAGTTAGTAAATCAAAGGAGATGAGGAAAACGGAGAGTACTTTGTGTATTGAGTGACAGATTTTTCACTTGAGAATATCTCGTCTCTTTTATAGGTGATGGAGCTGACCAGAGAGCACCTCTGGCATGGGACGTGGTGGGTCTCATTCACGTACGGGCTTTGGCGGATTGTTAGGGAACATTCTGGGTGCGAGATATCATCCCTCGTCATCTATCATCCTAACTCAAGGCAGGTGCTCCTAGCAATTAGATGGAATAAATATTAAGCACATTCTCAATTAAGATAATTAATAAAGAAAATTTCATATATTTAATTTTAAAAAGAAATTACATAATCAACCTTTTTTATTTTCTAAACTTTCTATCATCTAGAAAAATTTTGAAAACTAACAAAATAATTTCAAATAAATAAGTCTTAAAAAAATTTGACAAGATTTCAAAAGTAGAAATCAAAACAAAACATATGTTACGATTACAAATTTAATTTTTTTAAAATTCTCAAACATATACTTGGAGTTTTTGAAATTAGTTAAAATTTAAAAAATAGTTTTAGAAAGTGAAAAGGAAAACATAGTAAACAAACTTGAATTTAAATATAATAAAAATAAAAAACACTATAAAATCAGACTTTTAGATAGCGTTTGATAATAAATTCAATTTATGTTTTTTATTTTTTCTTTTTCATTTATGAAAAGCAGAGTCATTGAATAACCCATTCTATTTTCAATCAATATATTTTAAAAAAATATATTTCTAAAATTTTAAGTAAATTTCAAAACAAAAAACAAAACAAGAAACAAAAATCTCATTTTCCTCAACTTGGCTATCTATGTAGTACCAGTATGTACTCTTTTTCCCTTACGTGTACTCTGTTTTTGTATGCCAAAAAGGAAAGAAAAAAAAATGTTACTAAACCAACTATAATTTTTGAAAGTGAAATGATTATTGATATTATAAATAATTTTTATAAATTTCTTTGTTTGATTTTTCGGTAAAATGGATAACTTTACATTTCCATCTCCACCAACGTGAACATTTAAAATCTTAGTTATGGTTAGAGTATTAAATTTTCATCTATATGTCAACATTTCTATCGACATTTCCATATATCTGTTAATTCGACATCGATATAAAGGATTTAATCCACCTTTCCATTTTAGATCCACGTCAATATTTTGGAGGTAAGAAGCTCAAAAGGAGATTTCACATCCATCTCCATCAATCCACGTAAATATTTAAAATCTTAATTATGGTCAAGGTACTAAATTTTCATCTACACGTCAATATTTCCATCAATATTTTCATATATTAACCTTTTTCATTTTCGATCCACGTCATCATTTAGGGGAAAGGGGAGCAGCTCAATTTCACATCCATCTTCATTCTTCCTCTTAATTAAGGCATTGTGTTGGTTGGTTGCAAAATTAAGTGTGGTTTTAGCTCTTTTTTTTTTCTCTCTCTTTTTTGTGTGTGTTTTGTTGAGGGAAAATGAGGATTGAATCCAACCCATTTTTCCTGAGAAAGCATAGGGATGTTCTTCTCAAGCTTGCTCTCTTCTTCCTCTTCTCTGCTCTCTATCTTCTCTTTTTCCTCTCTGATTCTTTCAAACTTTCATCAACTCCAGATTCAGATTCCACTCCCATTTCCCAACTTCAACTTCAATCGCCTCCAAATGGTGAGAAAACTAACTAATAATGGCTCTTTCATTTCATTATTCCTAACTTTTCTCTACATTTTTTGCACTTAATTACTCTGTTCAATAGTTGGTCGTATTTGGGGATGCGGGGAATCGAACTTCCGACTTCGAAGGAAGAAATATATGCCAATTACTGCTTATGCTGGTGTTGAAAGTTTTTGTTTCTGAGATTTTTGTGAGTTTGAAGGGTGATTGAGTTTGATTTCCTTGTGCAATATTCAGAGAGTAGAGCAGAATGTGATATGTTTGTGGGAGAGTGGGTTGCAGACCCTGCAGGCCCTGCTTACACAAATGAGAGTTGCAATGTCATTGAAGCTCACCAGGATTGTCTGCGCAACGGGCGCCCCGATTTGGGGTATCTTTACTGGAGATGGAGTCCCCGGGACTGCGAATTGCCGAGGTTCGATCCCGGGAAGTTTCTCGATCTAATGAGGAACAGATCATGGGCTTTCATTGGTGATTCCATTCAACGCAACCATGTACAATCTTTGCTTTGCATTCTTTCTCAGGTACCTTAATAATAAGCCTCAACTCAAGCAACTATGTAATCATACTATGCACTTCAAATCTTGTTTACTATTATCATTCTCACTTCTCAAACGTATGAAAGTCGATTATTTAACGAGATTACATGAAATAGGCTCTTGTTTAAGAACAATACCGTAAATTCCTACTTTCCACCACTAAGTTTTTGACAGGTAGGAATCAGAAATTAATGTGGTCCAGTCAGCAATGAAGTATTGTTCGTCTTTTTAACGGTTAGATCTCGTTGGAAAAAGGTTAACAAGTCTGATTCCCAAGTAACTTTACTTTCTTTAGAAGCAAAGGAAGCTTGTTCTTACATCTTCCTTTATGCTGCCATTATAATGAGAGGATGTCTGGCCTACAGCTACAGTAAAACTTCATACCTGCTTCAATAATTCACCAATAAACCAACCATACTAGTTTTTTTTTTTTCGGTCCTCCTTCTTTCGGATAACTTGGAATCGGAACTTTTTTCCTCATACTTAAGGGCACTCGCGTCCGGACCTAGGAGATATCAAGGATTTTTGGTATTAAATTGACTTAAAAAATCCGAACTTGAGACCTCTAAGCCAATATGATCAAGAGACCTCAAGTCTTTAGCAATTTAACTGCCTTCGACCAACCACACTAGTTATTAAAATAATAAATAAAGCTAAGATTTTTTTTTTAATTTACTTATTTATTTTGAGATAGAGAATCTTGATAGTGGACCAAATGTGGTGTGAAACCTCACTATTTGTTTATAAAATCTGCTTGGGATTCAGATCTGAGAACCCCACATTTGTGGAATAGAAAAAAACTTTGACTTGGATATTGTAAAGGAAGGAACCCACCACCACCAACACCACCCACTGGAAGCTTTAATCTTGTCGTGTTCTTTTTCATTCTTTGGTTTCATTTATTTTGTCTGTTGATTTGCTGGTTCGTTTATGTCTCCAGGATGGTTTTTTACTGACAAAATTCCAGTGGTAATGTCCCACAGGTCGAACAGGCTGTTGAGATCTACCATGATGAAGAATACAGATCGAATAAATGGCGCTTCTCATCTCACAACTTCACGGTTTCGGTCATCTGGGCTCCGTTCCTTACGAAAGCAGCCATTTTCGAGGATGTAAATGGCGTTTCGAGTTCGGAGATCCAGCTTCATCTCGACGAGCTCGACGAAGAATGGACCTCCCAGTATGGGGATCTTGACTATGTAGTACTTGCTTGTGGGAAGTGGTTTCTGAAGACTGCTATATACTACGAGAACAACACAGTCATGGGCTGCCATAACTGCCTGGGAAAGAACTTGACAGACGTGGGGTTCGAGTATGCGTATCGGAAAGCGATCGACCTGATATTTAAGTTCATTACGGCCTCCGATCACAAGGCGTTGGTGTTCTTCAGAACCACCACACCAGATCACTTTGAGAATGGAGAGTGGTTCAGTGGAGGGCAATGCAATAGGACAGTGCCCTTCAAGGAAGGGCAGGTTGACATGAAAGATGTGGACGTAGCAATGAGGAATATTGAACTTGAGGAGTTTGAGAAAGTGGTTGGGTCTGGAAAGGGCAAGAGTTTGAAGCTTCTCGACACAACCCGACTTTCGCTGTTGAGACCCGACGGGCACCCGGGTCCATACAGGCAATTCCACCCCTTTGCAGAGGGTAGAAATGGAGAAGTTCAGAATGATTGTTTACATTGGTGTTTACCAGGTCCAATAGACTCATGGAATGATTTGGTAATGGAATTGTTGATTGGTGATGTAAAAGCTTGAGGATTCAATGGACATAGAATTGCCTTAGAAAGTGACATTATTGCAAAGGGTTTTGGTTTATTGGAGGGGCTGTTTGTTCTTGTAGAGGAAATAACAGTTTTTTTTTTCTTTTCCATTTATGGTTAAGAAAAATGAAGATGGGATGGTTACATGTATGTACTAATTAAGGAATAAATTCATATCATTCATCGTAGAGACCTGTGTTTTGTCATTACTAAACCATTGCCAGTTTTGATCTGTCTTTTAAAATCTTAATCAATCTTAAAAAAACCTTAAAAAAAACATTTTAAAATGATTGCAGAAATTTCAAATAATCATGCATCTTCAGTCCCAAAAAGAAAAGAGATGATTTATTTTCGTTTTCATTCCTTCAACTTCTCCACACAGCTACAGAATCAACGACACGAATGTCATTCCTCTTATACATTCCCGATCGACACCTGATTCTAGAATAATCAATGAAACACTTCTGGTTCATAGCCAAAGAAATGTTTCTAGATTTTGGTTATTCAGGATTAAGATTCACTAGTCTGGTCTTGTGGATATCCTTGGAGCTAATGACAAATTCAGATGAGAAAGCAAAATAACAATTTTGAGACAAAACACCAATCCAGATCAAGGCTGGTTTTAGATGAACTTAATTGGAACCTTCATTGAAGGTATCTTTCATTTTGTTGTTGGTTCTGGCTTCCTTTCCTTTGGTTTCAGAAATGGATCCTGCAAAAAATTAAAACATGCATTAGGAGTTATAACGCTGTTAATCGAAAAGGAAAATCTAGGCACTTCTCTTTAGAGAAAGAAACACCGTTCGTTGAAGAAAATGAAGGAAAACGAAAGAGAGGATGAAACCTCCTCAAGACCACGTAGGACCTTACATAAGAGCACTCTGATAGGAAGCAATTGGTTTATTTATCCATAGTATAACAAGCCGAGGGGAGATTTGAAAGCTCCCCACCTCTCCCTCCTAACAACAAAGAATGGCTATAGGAGTTACCCAAAATGATACCACTCACCGAGCAACTACTCCCCATATATTTCCTAATTGGCACGACCCTATGCCTCTAACTTACAAAATACTTTGGAGTCGAGTCGATTATGCACCCAAAAATATCGTCAATATGAACATTGAAACTGGCCAATTTAACTCTAAAAAACCAAACCTGACAGACACATCTTTTTTCTTTTGGAGGGTTGATCTCTTCCCTTTGTTAGTCAGATATATGGGCCTATGCAATGAAGAA